AAAAAATTTATATTATATTTGTATTATATATTCCTTAATATATATAATATATATATATATATATATATATATATATATTATGAGTGGATAAAGTGATTGCTGGGCTCTATATATATGAAACTATGGATATCAGAATGTTAAGGTAAATAAAAATATATATATTTGTATATAATATATATATATATAATATATATATATATATATATATATATATATATATATATATATATATATATAATATATATATATATATATATATATATATATATATATATATATAATATATATATAATTATATATATATATATAATTCTGCTACCTTGATTTCAACCTATATATATGTATTAATAACTGGTGATTTTTATATTATATATTATATTTATATAATGTTTTAAAAAAAATAATATATAATTATAGCCAATGACCTTGATTTCAACCTTTCGCTTATATTTTTAAAAAAAATAAATAAAAATAAATAAATAAGTGAATGACATGAGGTGTGGTAGAAGGTGAGGAGAAGGAGGGGAAAAGCAAGTGTATTAGAAATGTATCGGTGGGGGGTGTTAAATGAAATATGCATACTTTCTTTTCATCCCACTTCATGTGAACTCAAAAGGAACTTTTTAGTATGTATACAACAGGTAATAATTTTGAATCTCATTCAAAAGTTTTTTGGTCTGGAGTTCTTATAGCTAACTTTTCTTGTTGATAAAGTTTGCAGATATTACTATAATTGCTGTAAGGTTTCACTTTTATAAAAATTTTCCTGTTTACAATTGGATCTTTTTTATGTTTTTCCATTAATTTCCACACATGCTTGGCTATATATATATATATATATATATATATATATATATATGGCTGAAGGTAAATTTGTTAATTTTGATAACAAGCTATATTGTTGTGTTCATGTAAGTTGGGGAGACATATACAAAATTGAATGTTATGCAAATTTATCAAAGACAAGTAATTATTATTATATGTCTTGATATTTGAAGTAAGATGATTTGAAATAAATATCTTCAAATCATGAAAAGCCAATTCTACTCTTGTGGATTTTGTAAAGGGTTCAATTCAAAATTCCCAAAAGTTTATCATGTACAACAACAGACAGCTGAAGAAGGCCAGAGTGTACAATATTTGAAACATTGAGAGTATAAACATGTTGGTCCATAATATCCGCTACATAATATTGATGATTAATCTTCTCTCTTGTCCTTGGTTGTTAATATCTGAACTTTATGGGAAGGATACTTTGCATGAACATTAACTTAGCTGTCTTTACTTAAAGTTAGTTGTATTAGTGTTAATGGTAATGGTAATATTAGTTGTTTCCCTACAAGGAAACATTTGGCATTCATTGACCGAGCAGCCAGTACTGTTTTAGGTTGACAATCATGAAATCTTTCTCTTAAAGCAATTTTTTAGGAAAATAGTTTTTTTAAGTCCAGTAGCTGTTATCACTCTCTCCAGTATTGATAGGGCTTTCCTTCCTAACCTTTTATTTGAATTCATCTGGAATGTCAACATTATGTCATTATTTTCTTTTCAAGTTACTTGTGCTATCCATGTTAGATTTTATATATATATATATATATAATGAAATGGATTAAGTCCAAAAATTATTTAGTATATTTTCTGTTCATACGTTATTTTTATAGATATAATTTAAGTAAATGTTCTGTTTTTTAATTAAACAGTATTAATTACATTTCTTGAACATTCCGCCTGGTAAATGTAATTAATACTGCTTAATTAAAAAACAGAGCATTTAATTAAATAAATTATATCTATAAAATTAACATATAAACAGAATATATTTATTTATATTAATGCATAATATTTCACATTAATTGCACAACTCTGAGTTTCATGCTGAATCAATTTTCAAATGTTGGAATTAATGCTTGAATTCTAGTTTCATGTGTCACTGACCTTTTCTGGATATCTCAATTTCAGTTATTTCCCTTTATTAACTCAACCCAATCAAGTTTTTGTTCACCTCTGCTGTGGCCAGGTATTGAACTCACAACTCTTTGGGTCAAGTCACTGGATTACTTTAGTCAATGCTTTTAACCACTAGGCTGTGCGTCCTTATTTTCCTTGGAGAAAGTAAACAGTTTCTATTTTGGGACTGCAATTTTCTCAACAGCTTTGATTGTGGACTTTGTTAAAGAAATTTTTAGTGTGCCCCTTAGAGAGAATCTCACATTTCCATTCCACTCATTGACCTCAAACCTCTCAGTTATCATATCATCCAAGGCAGTTCTATGGCTCAACAATTTGCTGTTTTTTTTTTATTTCTTTTTTTCTTTTTCCATCAGACCGCATTCTGTTACATGATAGATAGCTATGGCTTTTCAATGGGAGTCTTTGAACGACTTGATCAAAGCAACCATTGATGATGACAGGAGAAATTGCACCATTGTATTTTATGGTTTTGTCCCCTACAGCTATCTGTGAAGACAAAGAGTTTTCTCACAGGTTCTGGAAGAGTCATGTTGATATAATAGGATGCACAACTTGATACTTCGTTAACATCACATTTTGCATGTGTCACTGACCTCATGTACATTTTACTTTGTCCAGACCAGGCAGGATGAATACTGAAGATGACCAACTGTAGTTATCCTTATTTCTATTTTTTTTTTACATTGATTTTCACTCCGTACAAGACCCAAGAGCTATTCAAAGTCGTGGTTTATAGAATGGGGATATGTGAGTTCAATCCCTAGAATGGGCAATATGTACTTTGGACTCAGTGAAAATGCGCGATCAATAACTGATCAGTACTAAAAATAAGAACTAGATGAGATATTTTTAGACATGGACAGTGGAGCAAGAACAGTCTACCCCTGTAAATTAAATAAAGGGTTCAGTTCAGAATTCTCTGTATGTTACCCAGATCAATATACACCTGAGGAAGGCCAGAGAGCACAACGGCTGAAACGTAATAAAGAAAAAAAGATGAGGACAATAGTCCGGATATAAGTAGTGTAAATAATGATAACTACTCATCCCAGAAATTCCGACATATTCCTGTTTACCAATAATAATTGCAGCTATTCACATTAGTTGTGTTCAGTGAAGAATTTTTCTGTTTGCATTTGGCCACCTTTGCAGGCAATAATGAAAGTTTATTTCCTCAACAAAATATTTTCAGTATTAGCTCCACATGTTAAGAAATTTGATAAGAAATTTAACATCACCATCAAAGTGTACTTCAAAGACTGCAACACCAACATAAGATATCTTCTATAATCTGTGTCCCTTCAGGATGTGGGTGATCATGGCTCTCCACAATTTCCTGTCCTTTGTAGCTCTTAGTAAAATTTGTCTTTTTGATATCGCTCCTAATCCCTGCTTTGCCAAACTTTTAACTGCTCTCTTTCTTCTATGTGCTATTTCTCTTCAGGATGTGAGTGATCATGGCTCTCCACTATTTCCTATCTTTTGTAGCTCTTAATAAATTTTATCTTTTTGCTATCTCTCCTAATCCCAATTCTTCCAACCATTTACACAATCTCATTCTTCTATGTGCTGTTTCTCTTCAGGATGTGAGTGATCATGGCTCTCCACTATTTCCTATCTTTTGTAGCTCTTAATAAATTTTATCTTTTTGCTATCTCTCCTAATCCCAATTCTTCCAACCATTTACACAATCTCATTCTTCTATGTGCTATTTCTCTTCAGGATGTGAGTGATCATGGCTCTCCACTATTTCCTATCTTTTGTAGCTCTTAATAAATTTTATCTTTTTGCTATCTCTCCTAATCCCAATTCTTCCAACCATTTACACAATCCATTCTTCTATGTGCTATTTCTCTTCAGGATGTGAGTGATCATGGCTCTCCACTATTTCCTATCTTTTGTAGCTCTTAATAAATTTTATCTTTTGCTATCTCTCCCAATCCCAATCTTCCAACCATTTACACAATCTCATTCTATGTGCTGTTTCTCTTCAGGATGTGAGGATCATGGCTCTCCACTATTTCCCATCTTTTGTAGCTCTTAATAAATTTTATCTTTTTGCTATCTCCCTAATCCCAATTCTTCCAACCATTTACACAATCTCATTCTTCTATGTGCTGTTTCTCTTCAGGATGTGAGTGATCATGGCTCTCCACTATTTCCTATCTTTTGTAGCTCTTAATAAATTTTATCTTTTTGCTATCTCTCCTAATCCCAATTCTTCCAACCATTTACACAATCTCATTCTTCTATGTGCTATTTCTCTTCAGGATGTGAGTGATCATGGCTCTCCAGTATTTCCTATCTTTTGTAGCTCTTAATAAATTTTATCTTTTTGCTATCTCTCCTAATCCCAATTCTTCCAACCATTTACACAATCTCATTCTTCTATGTGCTGTTTCTCTTCAGGATGTGAGTGATCATGGCTCTCCACTATTTCCTATCTTTTGTAGCTCTTAATAAATTTTATCTTTTTGCTATCTCTCCTAATCCCAATTCTTCCAACCATTTACACAATCTCATTCTTCTATGTGCTATTTCTCTTCAGGATGTGAGTGATCATGGCTCTCACTATTTCCTATCTTTTGTAGCTCTTAATAAATTTTATCTTTTTGCTATCTCTCCTAATCCCAATTCTTCCAACCATTTACACAATCTCATTCTTCTATGTGCTATTTCTCTTCAGGATGTGAGTGATCATGGCTCTCCACTATTTCCTATCTTTTGTAGCTCTTAATAAATTTTATCTTTTTGCTATCTCTCCCAATCCCAATTCTTCCAACCATTTACACAATCTCATTCTTCTATGTGCTGTGTCTCTTCAGCAGGTAAGCTATCATGGATCTCCTTAATTTCCTGTTATTTGTAACTCTTAGTAAATTTCCTTTTGCTGTCTCTCCTGCACTGCTTTCCTCTGTCTCTTTAGCCTTTAATATGTCCTGTGAGTATCAAATTTTCTAAGCCCTCTTTCCTCATTATGTGCCACAGAAACTTCTTTCTGATGTTGAGTATAAGTGTTTATTTTGGCTTACAGCCATATCACGTGGAAACACCAGTTCCCATATGATTACAGAAGTTAAGCAATGCTGAACCTATTCAGTATCTAGATAGGTGACCATTTGTGAATACCAGGTACTGTAAACTTAGATGTGTGAGTGGTGTAGTTGATAATAGCTCGGAAAAGCCAAGTTCCAATTTCAGTTGATTTGTTATATTCACTTATTCTACCCCAGCTATGGGTTAATTAGTAAGACTTGTATCACTAAATCATTTTTATTTCCAAAACAATTCTTGTAATCCAAAAATATTTTCTGGCTTTAAATAACCTGCAAAGGGTTGATAAGCCAAAGAAAATGAATCAATCATAATTGTCCATTTTGTTTTCACTTTCTCTAAAACTTCCTTGTTGTTCACATGTTCAGTCCATAGTATTCTCAGCATCCTTCTGTAGAACCACAGGTGCCTCATTTTCTGTGCTATCAACTTATTATTACTATAGTCTTCTACTCCTGTAACCGAACTATTCTAGATTCTGTGCCCAGGACCTGTTAGACTTTTGGAAATACTATCAGCAGCAGAACTCAGGTCCTTAGACCCACCAGCTCAGTCTTTTGTACATGGTACATGGTGGCAAATCCTTGATAAGAAGTAAGTTCCATTCAGTTAATTTCTTCTTTAGAACTGTTGTTTGTAGAACAGGCTCCCGAGAGGATGCTTCCTTAATCACTACAGTTTTGGTTATGACGATAAACTACATTTGGCAGCAAGGCCTCTGATCAGTATATTGGAGGTTTGATGAGCGTGGAAACAGCTCTTAATTGTTGTTGTTGTTGTTCCCAGGTCCGCCTTGACCTGGGCTAGTAGCACCTGTTAGTAAAAATACTAGCAATACATTTTTATATAAAAAATAACCAACAATAGATCTAGTAAAATGAGCAACAATACATTTTAAAGCCAAATAACCAACAATACATTTTATCTGTAGTTGAAGGTATATACAATTGTGTCCAAAATATATTTAGTTGAAGCCATAAAATTGTGTTCAGATTATTTTGATTTTGGCATTAAATAACCCATAGAGGTTGATATGCTGCTAAACAAAATCAACCAGCGAAACAATCAACATGAAAGAACTCTTTCATGTCATTGATCCATATAATATCCTATAATTTCTTAAAGAAATCAAACTGTATTCCAAAATATAATTTCAACAATAATAATTCACTGCCTCCAGTAATTATGTCTACACAAACATGTATATGCACAAAAGCTGAGTATTACCTACCATGTATTCAATTGTGAAAGCAGAATAACATATATCCTGTTTTTATTACTTGAAAGCTCTCAAAAAATTAAATTTCAGTATTAAATGACCCATAAGGAGTTGGTATGCCATTAAACAAACAAATCAATCAATTCTTAAGTTCCTGGTCATTTGATATCTATCCTACATAATATCATAATATGCATTTCCTGCTTCTCCTTTCCTCTTCTGTTACAACAATTTGACCCCATAAGCCTTTACCTTGAGTAAACTTTGAGTCTTGTATTAGGTGAACTAAAGTTTTAAAAATAAATATTTTTTCTATACAAATATTTTTTGGCTTCTGATAGAATCCCTCCATCTGTTTTGTAAGTCATTTCACATTAGTTGATAAATGCCCTTATGCAAGAGGACTTCTTTTTGTCTTGACTGGAAAAAAAAAACATTTAATGTCAGATTTTTTTCCCATTTATTTGTACATTTCTATTGCTATTATGTTGCAGTTTTTTGGAAAATTCCATTACGTTTCTAACACCCAAAATCAAAATAACATTATTCTCTTGTGTTTGATTGGAAACTGTAGCAGACATGCTTACACTTTAGTTACAAAAATGTTGACCAGCTGTCATCTGTTCATAAAGTAATTAATATAAAGTCTATTAATAAATCATTTTCATTTTTGTCTGAAGAAAAAAAAAAAACAGGCTGTATATTTTTTTATTTTTGCTGTTTTTGCTGCCAAGTAACCGTGACTGATTGATTGAAGTTTTTGTGTTTTTTGTCATGCAAGACTTACTTTTCTATTTTGCAAGACAGGAAGAAAATGTCTTCTGCTCTTTTCCTCCATTTTCATGCCATTTGTCAGCTACAGAATTCTGGTTGGCCATCTAGAAAAATAAAAAAAATACATTAATATGAGTAAATTAAAAAGAAAGTGCAACAATAACTGGATATTTATATTAGAAATGTTATGTAAAAATCAAAAGCCAGAATTGGGGGTGGGGGTTGCACAAGTTTGATATTTTGGTGATTGTGTTTACTTATATCAGCAAAGATGGTGCTGTCTGTAATTTTGAGGAGTGTCATTCAAAAGTTTTTGGACAATTGAACTTTTTTTTCTTTTTCTCTTTTTTGTTTTTTAATTTTTTGTTGCTTCAACAACATTTTAGCTAATCAATTCTTGGGTCATCTTCAGGTGTATGAAGATAGTCTCTTTTCTGAAGAAGGCTGTAGACTGAATCATCCATTACATTATGGGGACAAAGGCTTCAATAGTTGAAAAATCTCTTTGAAATTTAGCACTGTTTTGTGTCTACCTACAGCTAGTAGATTTTCATTCCCTCTTAAATGGCTAAAAGTATATAAATCTTGGGTGGATACTGTCTCCTAAAATTGTCTTAATGATAAGATTATGTATTATGCAAATTGTAGACATGCTGTTTCTGTCAGATAGTTGAAAGAAGACTACCCCCACTCTTGTGATATTATCTCCTCTCACTTTTATGTGGCTGAAGGTTAGGATGTATAACTGTATGATAGTTGAGTGACATTAGTAGAGTCCTTGGAGAGTCAAGTTGATCTTGTTGATGCATAGTGAGAGACTGGGGTTATAGTTCAAGTGACTAAAAGATTTTTGTTTCAATATCAATTGGATATAAGTACATTAATGGGAAACAAGTGGTCAAAAAGGTTGATATCAATAACAGTTTGTCCCAATCTTTTGTACATTATGACAGTTTAACATCCTCTATGTAGAGTAAAGGATTTGATTGTCATCGTCATGATCAATCCTATGACTGGGTGTGGCTGTGAGTCGCTATATACCAGACCACCTCCCTCTGCATGTCTCAGTTAGGATTCATTCATGTCAGACTGCAGCTGATATCTTCTGACTTGGTTATGGATACAAAACCGTTTGTTCCAATTTTATTGTTCATGAGACTAAACTATATTCATGCTTCTACAGGGAACTAGGCATAGATTGTCATCTAAATGACACAAAAATGAAAAAAAATTACATATATAAAATATCTTGAAATACAAAAGAGTAAATTTATTCAATAAAATCATCATTGGCTTCAACCTCAGCCTCCAGACGACTGGAATCTTCTGGAACTCTTCTGGATAGTCTCCTTGTTTAAGTTGTTGATTGCTGCCATAATCCTTGCATTTTTTTCATCTTTGGTTTTACAAGGAGTTTCGTTGGTCTCTCACTCAACTGTACCTCACACATAATAATCAAGGGGGTTGCAGTCTAGGGAGTTAGGTGTCCACATGTAAGGGATGATGTGGTCGCAGAAATTGTCTGACAGCCATGATTGGGTTCTCCTCCTTGTGTTGCCTGACATAGTCTTCCAGCAGCCACCTTCTTGATCCAGGACAGCACTTCGTCCTCAAGGCAGGATGTAGGCCTGCGTGTTGAGTCTGAGGCCCTGTTTGGAAGATGAAGGCATAATGTCGCCATGATTAGTGATCACTTCAAACAGCTTTGTAATCACCATTAGACTCATCCAACTCTTTCCGAATCCTCTGCACTGTCCTCAAATTGACACCTCAAAACTCTGAAATGTTCGTATTGACGTTTCTGGCATGAATGCTAAGCAGTACAGCATCTCGTTTCCAAATTTCTGGCAGAGTGAATTGTGTCATGGTGCTCTTTTTCTCACAGACTTTGCCCAACTGACTCTACTGTGTAGTTGACAAAAGGAAAAACAAACAATTCATGTGCGTGAAATTAAAAATACAAAATGGTGACAATTTACCTATTGCACCCTGTGCATAAAATGTAAGGGAGTTGCACTAAACCTAAGGTTGCATTGTGCATAAATAAATAAAGGTAAGATCAGTCAAAATACCAGAGTGTATATTTATCACAGAGCATTAATGTTTTGTCAGAATGGACTTCATCACTGAATATGTGGGTTTCTTGTTCATTTTAAATATTTTTAGTCAGTGGTCATTAGAAAAAAGGCAACAGTGTTGTTAACTGATCAAAATGCACATTTGTACTTTGGTGAGAATTGAATTTTTTTTTTTCTTCTGGGTATTTTTTTCTTTTCTCTCTCTCTCTCTTAATTGTCACAACTATATTAAATGAAATGTCCAACATTCTCATCACTTTATATATTTGGACTTTTTTTCTTATCTGTGGTAGATCAGTTCACTTGTGATGGGGAAATCTGTGGTTAATAGCAAATAGTCTAAATATGTCCACAAATTTTCCCCACAAAATTAAGATCCTATTTTAAAATATAACTGAAATTTTAATGCTTATACAACAAATTGCAGTCTTTTGAGATGTGTTTTCCATTTATTTATTTAACTTGGAAGTTTAGATGAAGGAGTGCGGAGCAGAAATCATCATCTGGTTCATATTTTTCTCCTTTAAAATACATTGTACTAAAATATTTTAGCTTAATAAAAGTTTTAAACATATAAGTTTTTCTGATTGGGTCAGCTAATAACAACAGCTACTTTCTCATACCTAAAAAGTTAGGGTGGATCAGGGGGTTAGAAATCGCTTGCTAATTGTAATAATACCACCACAACATAGCTTCTCTGTGCCTTTTCTATAAATACTTTCATGGTAATTGTTCGGATGAACTTTCCTGTAAATTGTTATTTCTATTCCCCACCCCCACAGACAAATTGTACATATGGAAACTAGTTAGGACTATATAGAGACAATGAGGTATTATGGTGGCTGTAGTAAGTATAGCAAGTAAGAATGTGTTGTTTTCGTGTAAGGAATACTTTGGTATGTTTGGGTCAGCAATCGTGTTTGGCTAAGTTTAAGATAATACAGATTAAAAACCAGGCTTATTTTATCCCTCCTTTTATCCTTGTACCACATCTTTGTATTATATCAAAATAAATA